TCGATCAGTTTTAGTTGTTAGATGTTCACTAATGCAAATATATTGACAGTTATAAGTATATTGAAGTTTCGTGCACTGGTAAGTTGTGTGGGTCTTTGCTTTTTGTGTTTTATAACTAATGACTAATCCATTTTTCTTTATACCTAGTTTCACTAAGTCTGATTGGAGATAATTTTTAAATTCGTGTTTGCATTAAATTAATTTTTAGATTTATGAATATTATTTTGCACTGTTAGCTTTGTATGTGGACTTAAAACTAATCTGAATCCTCCAAACTGTACGACTCGTGAGATATTATTGGGATTACGGCTGAAAATTCCGCCAACAACGAGAGTACTTAACTGATGATTCAGTATATTCTACTCATTATAGGTTTTAGTTTTATTGTGTACGCGCTGAAATACCTGTTAACTAACGGTGAATGTTTAAACTTAATTAAAAGAAGTTTAATAGCAGTAATATATTTCAAAATAATACCTTGAACATAAACTTTAATTCAAAATTTTAAAATTATAACAAAGCTTCTTCATTAACAACATTTTCTGTTTGCTTTCCATCTACCAACGAATAAAGATTTTGAGGTGATCCCATCCTTGAACATCCTACATCAAAGTGACCATGAGAAAAGAATGACTGTTTGAGAAACAATCCACAACTTTCATACTTTGACCTTGAATCCATTTAGAATATTCAACATTATCTAAAGAGTTAACCTGCCAATGTTATTTGAGATTGACTCAATAGGCTAGGAGTAATTAACCAACAGGCTTTATAAAATAGAAATAGGGTTAAGTTCAATTTTGAACCCCTTAGGATATTCCCCATAATTCATACAAATTTTGGTTGAGATTGGCCGAATAGGCTCGGAGGAATTAGGGTGCAAACAAACACACATTTCTAATTTATATATATAGAGAGAGAGATTGATTTATGACACTATATACTTCCAGTGAGCTTGTGGTAAACATCGAGCTTCATTGGTTAAGATACAGGTTAGTCTAAATCTGGTCCATACAGTTAACTTACTTTTGAAACTAGGTTGTTATTAGTTGTTAAATTACAGACTAGTAAGTAAAGTTGGTAGTTGTTATAATCAGTAACGAATGTAAGACACTTGGGAGAAACTACGAAGGTCCTCTAGGGCATCGTAACACATACACAGAAAAAAACACTAAAAGCACATGTTTTTCTTATGATTGGAAAGGTTTTGTGAAAATACCATCTTATCTTTCTGCGATGAAACTAAATATAAGAGATCGTTACAAATGATATGTTCAAAAATAAAAACAGACATCAGGGAGACAAATAACTTACACATATGGGTGTGTGCAAAATTCAGAACGAGACTTTACTTTCGGCTGTCAATAAGTGCAAATGTTGCCAGTTATGCTGACTAGCTGTCATCTCATTAGTAAAATCAGGACGACCAGTACAGATAGTTCTTGAGTAACTAACTATACGAGTATATCCGAAAGAAACCTTAAGAACTAAGAATACTAAATAAAGACTTTTCTTCTTATCCTTCGTTTTCGCAAATCGTCTAAGTTGGTAAAAACTTTACCAGAAGTGTATGAAAATAAATATGTGGGTGAATTTTATTTATTTTTTCAGCACAGGTTTCGTTCTCAAGACCGATAACAACATGACCTTTCAATCTCCCTCACGCCCGACTCCTCCCCGCTAGCAACATATTATACGTAACCAGTGAGCTGACCACTTGTCAGAGGTACTCACTCTGTTGTTGAAAAACTGAATGAATGAATGACCTTGCACTACCCTTAACAGGGGACACAACTCCTCTCTCCTCCCCTTTCCTCCAAGTTCTTTGAGACTGGTAAACCTCTGCGGTTCTCACAGCTTCTCAAGGACACAAAGTATTAGTGTGTTCTAACTGGCAACGGACTGGTGTTTTCTGTTACCTTTACACCAGTTTTGTCAGCATCCTTATAAAGAGGAGGACAGTAGCTTGTTAAGGTAATGCATTTCTGTCTCCACTCCCATGCTTATATTATTATTTTTATATAGTATTTTCTCACTTGCAAACGTAGCTATTAAAATATGATATTGGTCAATTATACTTGTGGTATTTATAGACGTTGGTACTTAGTTGTTGTGTTTTTTAATATTCTTGTATAGTTTCTAATTTCAGATATAACGGGTATAGTAACTAAAATCCGATTTCCCACCAACTAAACAAAAAAATTATATAACGTACTATAGGAACTATTTGGTATATACTGAGTGAGTCAAAAGTTACGAACTATTATGAATGTTTTAAGCCTTATTATGACTTTTCTGAGCCGTGTTTGTATTTTACTAACTGTCCCTTTATCTTTTTTACAATAGTTGGTTGAAGTGTCGGTGTTTTGAAAGAACGATTTGTAATAATAATCATTTTTGCGACGTTGTGTTGTGATAACAACAGTACAAATTTCCAACAGCTGTAAATAATAGTAGTACGGGATTTTTACATCGCTGTGTAAAACTTGTGCTTTATTGTACGAGACTCGACTTTACTTTAAGCATCGAGTCAGATTTCGCAGTAATCCTTTCATTTCCAATGATAGAAATAAAAGAAATTTAAAATGATAGTGTGTCGCACTGATAAAAATTATCTATTACTGAACTAGAATCGTTATGGTGAAAAGTAAACCAAACTAACCTTACTTTTTCTTGATGGCTGTCGAAATAAATTTTTAATAACTGTATACATTACAATTATTTTATTAGTTGTTTGTTTCTTTCAGAATGTTTGTACAAAACTACACAAAGGGCTCTCGATTCATATCGTTTGTAATTTTTAACGGATAAATAAGCGGGGAGGCAGGTATTCAACATCACTTTAACTGATAAACTAAAAGGGAAGCAGGTAGTTAATACCACTTTAACTGATGAATTGGAGGGGAAGCAAGTAGTCGGAACGAGGTTGGTGGATTTGACCGCTATTTTTATAGCACATACAGGGCCTCTAGGTATGGAGCACATTTTTGCGAGCCATCGACCATCAGTTGTAGCATATGATATGGTGATATATTCAATTTTTGGCGGTAAATTATCTTCGTATATAGGGCAATCATAAAACAAAAAGGAAAGAAATTACACGCGAAAATTCGGTAATATTCTCTTTGTTCAGTTCCTTGACGTAGCTTATGACAATTTTGTTTTTCTATGCTTTAATGCAAGAATACTTGCAAACTCTTAATTTTTATAACCTTCTTCTTTTAAACTTTTATAGTAGTTTTCCGCTTAAGAAGAAAGGTCCACCTTTCGAAGGCGCTCGGGTTATAGGGTTTTTATTAATTTCTTGAACTTACGTGTTTTTTTAACATCATGGAAGTAATTGAAATTTGATCAATCCACTATTTTAGGCTTCAGAAAACGGAGAATCCTATGTTAAGAACGATCTGTGCCAAGAGTGTTGGTTTGGATCGGAATTTAGGTCGCATCATTAATACATATTACCAAACAAAGACACCAATATAAGTATAATAGTGATAAAGAAGCTATATGCTAAAACACAATGTGGTCATCGATCTGTGCCAAGAGTGTTGGTTTGGATCGGAATTTAGGTCGCATCATTAATACATATTACCAAACCAAGACACCAATATAAGTATAATAGTGATACAATGACCACATTGTGTTTTAGCATATAGCTTCCGATCTGTTTACACACTTTTTAGGACTCAAGTACAAAATTCGCGCCGCGATGCCCTCTGAACACGCTTTGCAATGAGCCTTTGTTGCAGCGCATACTTCTGGCTGGCTGCCTTCTCGGTGGATCAAGCGTTCCAAACTGGAAACTTCTATACTTCGATAAGGTACTTTTACTCAAGTTGAACACACTAATACAATATTTTTAGTCTCGTACATGCTAGTAATAACATCTTTAATCGAATGCTCAAGAGACGAGTTGAACAAAATCCTTGTGAAAACATATATTTCGTCAATCTGATTTGTTTAAAGGAAATAAATAAATGATTGTTCTCAAATATAATAAAAGGATTAATTTTATGTTTCGTATGAAAATGTGTCCGAACGGTATTAGTTATCGAATTTTACTTGAATATTTCTTAGCAATTCCAAGATCCTATTATAACATGTATAGAATATTCGAATATCTTCTATTGTGTTTCCCAACTAGCTTGTTTAGTATCAACTCTCTCGCAGGAAATGGTGTTATCCTGCAGTACAAAATTTACATGTATAGAATATTCGAATATCTTCTACTGTGTTAGCCCAACTAGCTTGTTTAGTATCAACTCTCGCAGGAAATGGTGTTATTCTGCAGTACAAAATTTACATGTATAGAATATTCGAATATCTTCTATTGTGTTAGCCCAACTAGCTTGTTTAGTATCAACTCTCTCGTAGGAAATGGTGTTATCCTGCAGTACAAAATTTACATATATAGAATATTCGAATATCTTCTATTGTGTTTGCCCAACTAGCTTGTTTAGTATCAACTCTCTCGCAGGAAATGGTGTTATTCTGCAGTACAAAATTTACATATATAGAATATTCGAATATCTTCTATTGTGTTTGCCCAACTAGCTTGTTTAGTATCAACTCTCTCGCAGGAAATGGTGTTATCCTACAGTACAAAATTCACCAAACTCGGAATTGATTTTGCTTGTGAAGAAACTTCTAACTGAATGGATATAACCATACGCCGGAAATGGTGTTATTAGCGGAAGTGGGGGGGTCAGCTACCTCAAAATTGGTGTTTTCTTAACTTCTTAAAAACTTAACTGAATGGGTACCGTGTGAAAATCTGGAGTGCACACAACTTGTAACTTTCAAAGGCCAGTTCATGCTATTATGACACAATAAATCTTCGGGCTGCCGGTGGCAAAGCTCTTGTGATCTTGAAATAAGTGCCGCCAAACGACAAGCCTATTTACTCGGCGCCTCTAGGTCACAAGGCTGCAGCGATCCCCTGGCAATAATTGCACAGTGCTCAGGTGGCTGTACTTCCTGTCTCAGTGTGTTGGCAAAACAGGCAAACAGCTAGACGCGAGTACAGTAGCCTGCAGGTAACGTCAGCCGATACACCGCTCAGGCCTTTGTTGCTCTCGAAGAGATCTTCCACCCGACAAGTTTATCATTTATGTACACAGCCTATTCTACGGCTTTGACAAGCAAACTATAACGTAAGTTCTTTTCTTTGGTTCTTATTGTTATGTTTTAACTGGAGTTCTCTACTCTGAACTGTCATTTTTTTTGTGGAATATTTTTAAACATAAGTTGTTTTTTTAGTTTGGGTACTTTGTAGTTTGGGTACCTTGAATGTTTAAAAAAGCATTTTTACACTTGAAAGTTACGAACTTGTATTCATTTTTTTGTGGAATATTTTTAAACATAAGTTGTTTTTTTTAGTTTGGGTACTTTGTAGTTTGGGTACTTTGAATGTTTAAAAAAGCATTTTTACAGTTGAAAGTTACGAACTTATATTTCAAATGGATGTATTCTGATACTGGAACCAAAACCGGTTTCTTTGGAAATTAAAGTCTCAACACCGTAATTTTTTTCGGTAGATTAACGATGTCTTATAAATCAGCATTATATTACAAATTCAACTGTACTTCCTTCTCAACTTTCCAAGCGTTGATTTGTTTTCTTGAAATTTAAAACCCTCTATTTTTAAACATTTTGAATGTTCTATTCATTCTTCTAACTATGATAAGGTAAAAGCACACTTACCAGTTTAGTAATTAATGTTAACTTTCTAGCTCTTTTTTTGAAAATAAAGAAAGATAAACAAATATACTGCAACAGACAACACCGTCTCATATCCCAATGGTTTTCATTGGGTGAGTAAAATCGCCACTCAAGGACAGTCCCGTTAGGAAAATTAATAAAGCTAATAGTGAGACGTTCATTATTTGCATTCAGGCATTAAATGTACTCTTGATGTCTATATACATATTATGTATTGACGTCTCTGATAATAAACTTTAGAAAAACGATGTTTTAAAGAGTGAACCTTACAATCGATTACCTAATATGGCATCTACTATGGCGGTTGGGAAATGAAACTCCTCAACATCATACATGAGCGAGTACGTCACAGACGACCTTGACAATGATTTGAAAAACTTACCTTTCTCCGGGCAAGGCTAGTATAATCCAGTCAATGATCTTTCATCCACTTTTGTCAGAGCGATAATAACTACTAGTTTAGGGTTAAGGTGAATGCCCCGTAATAGACGATATCAGGGATTCGCCAGTTCTTGTGAATGATAGTAAAGTTGATTTATGATAATAATGATAAATGAATAATCAGTATTAAAGTTACAATGAAATAGATAATGTTGTGTTGTTAATTCATATAGTAAAAATCTTATTTGTAAACGACTTAAAATTGATAAGTTACAATTCCCTTGCTTAATCGTGTTCACACCATAACAGTAGCTGTTCATAAAAATTGATATAGTGTATATATATATATATATATATTGCCTAAACCATTCCTATGTTTGTAGTGTTTCAGCCAACATGATCAGCCCTGGTATTGATGTGGTATGATTAATATATTACATATTTTAATTTGCTTTCACCCATGGGCTCTTATAATAAACATGTTAAAATATATTTCTCTCTCTCTCTCTCTATATATATATATATATATATATATATATATATACT